ACACTTTCTCCATGGCTCAGCCCAGCCGAGGCACCGACCGAGAAGCGCAGCCTGGCGATGCCACCTCCCTATGCACACGCATGTGAATCCCACACCGCCAGGGAGGCGGCGGCCCAGCGACAACAAAAACCAACCAGGTGACAGACCTGGAAAAATATCTATCACTACCAGCGGACTCTTGCCCTCCGGAGAGGCGGGCAAAACGGCCTTCCGGTGACAAGCCAACAGGGAGATGACAGAGTATCAGCGACACTGAAGTCCGTGCAAAGACCCTCCTCACACACCTGCAATGCAGTGTCCGCCGGTCCCACAATGCACACTCCGAGCCCCGGCGCATCTGCAGCCGAGACCAGCACGGACGTGTGTGGCGCGGCTGTTCCCCTCACAATAAGATTATTGGCATAACAACATTTCATGACGGCAGGGGGATAAAGGGGAAGGGGTGGGGGTGGGGGTGGCTGCGGCGAGCCAGAGCCAGAGAAAAGGCACAGGGGAGAAACTCCCCCGGCCCGCGGCTCACCTTTTATTTGGGCTTCATATTCGGCAATGATCTCTTTGTCTTTCTTGAACTTCGTCTGGGATGACATCTTCCGTGGCCAAAGGGACCGGCAAGCTGTCTGATTGATCTCTCCTTTTCTGCCCAGCCCTCCTCCCTCACGCCCTGGGGATCGCACGGCTCTGGTTGATTTCACAGGTTTTAAGGGCTGATCTCTTCTACTCGTCTGTAGAGCGGAGGGAGGGCAAAAAACAAAAATCCTTCTCCTTCAGGGAGGAAAAAAAAATTCCCTTTACTCGACGAAAAAATGGCTTGCTCTGGTCAACTCCTCTTGCAAAAAAAAAAAAGAGAGAGAGAGAGAGAACCTCCCTTGTAGCACAGCAACCTGCCCTAGATTTTCAAGATGTTTCTTCCAGGAAAAATAATCGCCCCGGGCAGTCACACACTTGCACACAAACACACTCACACGTGCACTCGCACACTCATCCAGACACACGTACGCACGGCCCCAGCGTGCGCGCGCGCGCGCACACACACACACACACACACACACCCTCACTCACACACGCACACACACACGAGAGACGCCTGCTTGGCCTGCGAGCAGACAGCTCGGGCTGCCTTCCGAAGGCTCGGCGGAGATGGTCAGGTTACCAAGGCGCCGGTCATCTCGCATCCTCCCTGGCGTGGGCGCCTCTGGTCTGATGTACAGCGAGGATCGTCGCCAGGAGAGCGAGCTGGAAGTTTTCCTGCGGCAACGCCAGCACTCCGGTGAAGCACTCCGGTGAAGCCCGGCCAGACTGCTCGCCCTGCAGGGCTGACTGAGCGCGTCCCCACAGCCCTTGTCACCAGGCTCCACCCCCTGGATTTTATAACAACTGACACATTGTAGCCTACGGGAGAGCAGAACTGCCTGCAAGCAAAAGGGAAGAAGCCGTTCACAAAAGCGAAGGCAGCAGAAAGAGCCCGGTGGGGAGGCCTGACAAGCAGCCCCCACATGCCAGCCACCCCCACCCCCACCCCACCCCCCACTCCACAAGCCCCAACCAACCACTAGTAGCCCTGATAGAGATTTTTCTTCCCGCAGTCTCCTTTTTCTTGCCTGGTGCCATTTGATTGAATTCCTTGCAGTAATGCTATGTATCAGGCTGTCTTTCTGCCTGGAGAGTCCAGCAGAGAGCCTGGCCCCATAGAGGGGCACACATGAACAGTCGTCGTCGCACAGTTACTAGGTGGCAGGGCCTCGAGCCAGCCACGCACTGCCATCACATCAATTTCTGACTCACAACAGCCCAAATTAGGGTTTTCCAGGCTCTGGATCCTTACAGAAGCAGACAGCCTCGGTTTTCTCCTGAGAAGCAGCCGATGGGTTTGAACTGTGGGCCTTGAGGGTAGCAGTACAACACTTACCTGGCAGCCCACCAGGGCTCTTGCGGCAGGGATGCTGCGAGGCATTTTAGACGCAGTCGGAAGCAGGGTCCATAGCTGGGGGAGCTTTGGGAAAGTGAGAAACACGCAGAGCCTCGGTTTTCCCACCAGTAAAATGGGCTTTCTTGGGAGGTGCTGTCATTCATTCATTGTTTCTACAAGTGTTTATTCAAAATGTACTATGCCTGAAGAACTGGCAGATGCCCAAATTCCACTACCAAGTGCCCTGAAAAAGGCCACAGTAGAAGGTCCTGGAGGGAGGAGGAGGAAAATGTGGAACAAAATCCAAAACTAGAGAAGAGACCCGGCTTCCTGGTTGATAGAGACTCGTGGAACAGCCACTGCCTTGTCACCCTGCAGGTCTGGAATGGACTGCCTCCGCATGTTAGAATCAGCAGCCCATTAAGAGCAAAAGGCAGCATTTACCCAAGAACCAGGTACGGAGGGTTAGGAAAGGAGGGGGGTGGAAACAGGAAGGACAGGGAGCGAGTGGGATAAGGGCCGGCTCGTGGAGGGGGTTGTGACGGATGCGTGAAAACGGACTGTGTAGCAAGTGTTGGACGGGAAACTGATGGTCTGTTCTTTAGACCATCCGTTTTTAAACCTTTTTTTTAAATAAAAAAAAATTTAAACCTTAATCTGGGGTCCAGGGGTGAGGGGTGGGGCAGGAAAGGAGCTGATACCAAGGGCTTAAACCATTGGTTCTCAACCTTCCTAATGACACAACCCTTTAATACAGTTCTTCATGTTGTGGTGACCCCCAACCATAAAATTATTTTCATTGCTACTTCATAACTGTCATTTTGCTACTTTTATGACTCATAATGTAAATATATGATGTGCAGGATGTATTTTCATTGTTACAAAATGAACACAATTGAACATAATTAAGGCATAGTGATCAATCACAAAACAATATGTAATTATATATTGTGAAATATTTATGTGTTTTCTGATAGTCTTAGGCGACCCCTGTGAAAGGGTCGTTCGACCCCCAAAGGGGTCGTGACCCACAGGTTGAGAACCGCTGGCTTAAACAGAAAGAAAATATTTTTTAAATGATGATGGCAACATATGTACAAATGTGCTTGATTCAATTGATGTATGGATTGTTATAAGAGCTGTAAGAGCCCCAAATAAAATGATTTTTTTTTAATTTAAACCTTACTGTATTTCTACAGATTGAGCCCCAGTGGCATAGTGGCTACATGGCCCCAAGACTATGGCTGGAAGAGTCAGGTGAAGTGACACACGACACCATACGATAGATACACATTTATTTTTATCAACAGAAATAAAAAGTTCAAGTGGCACAGTGGGCTACTTAACTGCAAGATCTGCAGTTCAAAACCACCAGCCGCTCCTTGGGAGAAAGATGGACTTTCTACTCCCTTACACAGTTACAGTCTGAGAAACTGACAAGGGCAGTTCTACCCTGTCCTACAGGGTTGCTCTGAGTCGGCATCGATGTGCTGGCAGTGAGTTTGGTTTGGTATATACCTATATACCAGGCACTGTTCTGGGTAGGGGAGTAACAGTAATGACCAAAATAGACATACATACCCACAAAGAAGGAAAAAGAATCTGCCTCCTAGAGCTGACATTTGAAACAGGGCCTCCATCACAGACCTCGAAGGAGTCTCGCTCATCCATTTATATTCTCAGAAGAAGCACCCCTGGAGCACAGCTCATGCAGGATTCTGAGCGGTATCCCCTTACCTTGGACAGCGCAAGATACCCTGGAAAGGGGAGAGAAAAGGTAAGGCGAGTGAATCCGCTATGTAATACAGCAGAAGTACCATGGAAGAAAACTATAGCAGGGCGAGAAACATCAGGAATAAGGAGAGCTTGGGAGATGATACACGCACTGCCTTCATTCCAACTCTGCAGCACAGAGCAGAACTGCTCCTGGGGGTTTCCAAGACCCTAAACCTTTGCAGGAACAGGCAGCAGGAGCTTTCCTTTGGAGCTATGGGGACGTGGGGGGTGGGAGGGCTTGAACCACTAACCTTGTGGTTAGCAGCAGCCAGTGCTGATGCTACAGTGCCAGCAGAGCTCCCTCTAGCTATTATAGCTCCGTTTCCTGTTTACTATAAGCCAGGCTAGCCTAACCGGTGTATATACATTGTATATAGAGTATAGATGTTACATCTAATTTCACGTTGTGCACATATAGTATCCTTCTACTCAGCCAGACATGAAGTCTCCATGAACTGAGATCTGTTTGATGGCAATTGCAACTGCCCCTGGAATCATTATTGTATAGTATTTTTATCATATGAATTACACTATATCATATCCTCCCAACAATCTAACCGCAGAGGTGTGAGTGAGCCTCTGACACAGAGGAGAAACCGAGGCTCAGATATGGGAAGTGATGACCAAGGTCACTTTCAAGCCCAGCCTATCTAGGGCCATGTTTTGCCTCTGGAAATATTCATGCATTCAGGAAGGAATGCGGTTGGCTGTGCAAGAAATGAATCAAGCTCTACAGACCCACTGGCCGCTGGGATGTCACACATTGATTGTCATTTACACGTATTTTCTGCCGAGTGTAGCGTTTTCACACTGAAAACAGGCATAGTCTGCAATTGGCCTTTTCCAAATATAAGCACATATACACTTCAAAATGAGCATATATGTACAGACACAGAAGTACACACGTATATAAATATATTTGCATAAGTGCAGGGCAGTGAATTACTTGATATGACTCTTCTAGTCATAGTCTTTGCGGGTCCCACACCATGTTTGGGTGAAACAATGCAACGAAGGCGTTTGGGGCCCACCCAGAGGAGTGGACAGCCCGCCAATAGTGCAAAGAAGCTGCATAGACCTCTTATGGGGGTGGGGCCATGCAAATAAAGTGTAAAGAACCCTAACAAGAGGATTAGCCAGTTTTATCATCCCACTCGGCTTAAAGAGAGCTGATCGGAGAAGCAGAGAACAGGGCTTCACCACCACTGAGAGTCAACAGTAGGGCGACCTCTGATCCCAGAGTCCCTGAACGGAGAACCTCACAGAGTCCAGAGTCAGAGAGAAAGAGCTGTCAAGGCAGAGACGAAAAGGCATGAAACAGCAAGGGCAGTACTGTAGCAGAAAACCCATGGCCACAGAACCAGGAGACCAGCACAAGATAGCACTGTGGGCTTCTCAGCCCTCAGAGGGGGGAAAACAGGGCTGAGAGGAACCTCTCCTCAGAGGTTCAAGAGGCGCCTTGTGTGGCTAAGAAGAGTTGAAAGGTCTCTGACTATGTGGATCATCCCACACTAGGGGTAACATTGAAAAGAATGGGAATTCCAGCACACTTCACCGTGCTCACACGGGACCAGTACATAGACCTAGAGAGGCAGCCATTCAGATACAACAAAGATACTTCATGGTTTGAACGCAGGGAAAGTGTTTGTCAATGTTATATCCTTTCACAACATTTATCCTTTCATGGCACTTATTCAATCTGTATGCTGAGCAAATAATCTGAGAAGCTGCACTATAGGAAAAAGCACGTGGGATCAGATTGGGAGGAAGGCTTATTAGTAACCTGTGATATGCAGATGACACCACCTTGCTGATGGACGGAAAGTGAGGAGGAGCTGGAATCTTTGCTGGTGGAGAGCAAGGACTACAGCATTGCATTGGGTCCATCTGCTGCACAAGACCTCTTTCACGTGTTGAAGGGCAAGGTGTCACCTGACTCAAGTCATACTATCTTCAATCACCCCGTAAGCACGTGAAAATTGGACAACAAATAAAAATGACCACCGACGAATTAGATGCATGTGAACTACGGTGTTGGCAAAGACTACTGAAAACACCAGGTACTGCCAGGAAATTTTTTTTTAATTTTACAGTTTCAATGACATATAATTCACACATCATACACAATGATTTAGTCATATTAAAAAGAGTTGGGCAATCATCATCATAATCAATTTTAAAACACTTTCTTTTCTCTTGTTCTCATTATTATTAGCTCCCCTCTTCCTACCCGCCCCCACCTCCCCTGCCATAACCTTAAGAAACTGTGAATCCAGTTATTGTTTCGATAGATTTACCTATCCTGGATTTCATGTCAAGAAAAACATACAAAACAATAACAAGAATAATAAAATATACAGGGTCACGATGAGTCAAATCCACTCGATGGCAGTGGGATATTTTTCTTCTTTTTCCCTGCTCTTTTTTCAATTGGGGAATATTTGTCCTTCACTCACTAGCTAACTCTTCTGCCTCGGATAACTTTTCAAATAAATGTTGGAAATGTGAAAAAAAAAAAAGAATAATAAAATAAAACATTAAAAACCTCACTTGGAAAGAAAACAGAAAAT